TCTCTTCAGCTGTGCTTTTGGTCAGCATCTTTCCATTTCCCTTTTCCCTCCTCAGTTTTCTCTGTTATGTCTGTGAAATTCTTTGAGGCATCCATCCTATGTGAGAGGCACTTTATGAGTACAGGTTTGTTGTTGTTACAACAAATGCACCTGAATTGACTAAACGTACATCACAAGCTGACCTCAGGGGATCCGCACTACAAACCCCTTGTGTTGCACTGTATTCTGCTCACTGTCTGAGACGGAATATCAAGTTCCTGCAGGGAAAGCATGAAATTCATGAGTTTGGAAAATATAGACCCAAACTGAACAAAACTAACTGAAGTCTGGACATGGGCCAAACACACCAGCTAACGCTTACGTGGGTTGAATGTTTGGCTTAATACCGGACTCGCCCTTTGATCTGAACTGAAAATACATTTTACTCTCATTCCGGAGAATGAAAGTAAAATGGCGGAGAAGGAAGGTGTTCTGGATATCAACTTATGGTCTACAAATCTTCATTGGCCTTATGACCATTGTCTTAAAATGTAAGATCATGCAGAATTTTGGCAAATTCTTAAATTCAGTTTAATTTTTGCAGTACTCAAAAATAACTGATAAATTAGGTTCCAAATTAAAACTGAATTTAGGAAACTTCTAAAATTCTGCTTGATCTTAAATTTTAAGGCAATAGTCTATGAAATTTGGGGCCTCAGGAGCAGGAGCCCTGGCTAATTTCTCCTTCCTAACCCAAGGACACTGAGGTCATTTGCAGTTACCTGCTGCTGCCCTTGATTGAAATCAGCTAACTCAGCCCTATACTGATTCAGTGATGCCCATGCAAAGTGATTTCTCCTGTTCAAACACTCACACCTTTGCCTTATGTTTTCCTTGGTATGAACTTTTTTTTTATGGGTTTAGACTTTGAAAAGAGAGGGGAGTTTTGCTCAGTGTCCTGCCCAACAATGCTCCAGATAAAAATGATCACTGACTTCATTGCTGTTTGTGGGACACAATTGGTTTAAGTTGGCTGCAGTGTTTACCTACAACTACGCAGTCAACTACACTTTACAGAAACATTGTGAAGCACTGAGATATTCTCGATGTTATCATCGCTATATCAAATTCAAGGGTTATTTTATTATTAGTACTATTATTATTGCACCATAGACAGAAGTCCATTAATAGTCTGTTAACATAATATTTATTGCAGTTTACGCCAAAAAGGTAACAATGAAAGCTAAAAGAATAACCTTCAGAAGATGTCCACCTGGCAAAAGTTACTCCTTGACCCCGGAATTTTGTATGGATACTTTTAAAAGTAAGTATTCAGTGATCAGTGTGACTTTTCTAGCTGACAAGCACTGGGAAGCTTTTCACATAGTGCTCTCAATGGCAAACTATGTAGTTTTATCTGACTACAGAGGTACCCAATGTACAGTCTGGGTTTCTCATTGCTTGCCTCTTGCCAGCTGAACCTAATAATAATAATCATCCTTGCATTTGATATCGTGCCTTTTCACGTTTTCGGAATGTCTCAAAGTGCTTCACAGAATATATTGTAAAGTGAGTTGACTGTATATTTTGTGGGCGAATTGTGGCAGCTAATTGCGCTCAGCAGTGTCCCACTCTCTGGAAATTGAAGCAGGATGCATCTCTCCAGGGCGAGAGTGTGCATTCCTTTCCAAACACAGAGAAGTTTTCATGTGTAGGTGGCATACATATGTTGAACTCTCAGTCTGGTTTTGATTCTCTTAAGCATGAGTTTGTCGGGCACCTGGCTGACCAAAAGAAAATTGGGAAGATTATTAGTTAGGACACAAGTAGAGGCCGCCTTTGCTTTACAAATAGTGTCATGGAATCTTTAACATCCACCTATAAACAGGCAGTCAGTAATTGGGTCTCATCTCATCCAGAGTATAACACCTGCAGCAATGTAGAGCTTACCCTCAACTATACTGGAGTGTCAGCCTAGATTATGAGCTCAAATCTTTACATGAAGCTTGAACCTACTACCTTCCAAGGAAAAAGGGGTTAGTTGCATTTTGTAGAAAAGGAGTGGAGAAAATTGAAGGGAAAAACTGACAAATTGCTAAGAGTACAATTGTAAATTTCAGATGTTTATGCCCAATTCTCCAGTGATTTTGCCAGTTTGTTAAGAGAGACTGTGAAGGAAGGTGCACAAGGTGTTTAGGTACCAGGAAGGTGCTTCCTGGTACACAAACAGTATGATCAGAGGAAAACTAACCCTGGGTCACTCTTCCATACCTCCCAGATGGATGAATGTAGAACAATATAGATAGGAGGCTGGGAGTACGTTGTCTGCAACCATGTGTTAGTATATTTGTACTAAAGTCCATTAGCAGGGTGTTCCCTTTATATTGTATTGCCAGCAAGTCATTATGTTTTCATTTCACATTTGATTTTGGGACTTTTAGTAAGTGAAACTTATCAGATTCTCGCGTTTGAAAGAACAAAATGTTTAACAAATGCGCTATTAATTCTTTATTCTGTCAACACTGGTTAGGTTGACAAGTCAAACTTTGGTTTGTGGTTAATGGCACCAGCTGCAAGTTAAAATATCTATTGTAAACCTGAGAATGAGGCACAGGGTGTATGTTTTCCAGCTGGTGCTTTGAAAGAAGAAAGACAACTCCAAGAAACACATTTCTTCCACACACATTGAATCCTGATATAAAATGATTTTAATTCGCTATATGCGGCACTGAAAGAAACACGTGAATTGGTTCGTTTGTGCGATTTTATGTATATCAGGGACAAATAAAATCCAGGCGGTTCAAAAAGACAAACACTTAAAATATTGAACTTTCTGGCAGTTATTTACTACTAGTCTAGAAACTAACCTACCATGACCATGGAATTATTTGTGTCATAATGTCAGGGTTGTACCAACAACAGGAATAACCACCCATATATCTATAAGTGAAAACAATGTGAAATTGCATTGAAAATCCCTATTTTCAGGCAAATTGGATTGTTGCAGGTCAACGTCGGTCACACCTCTTCCTCCACTCCCTCCTCGAGCCCCTGCAGTCTGGTTTTCACTCTGCCCAAAGCACAGAGCCCGTCAAAGTCACAAACGACGTCCTCTCTATCTAGGACCAGGGCTCCCTCTGCCTCCTCATCCTTCTGGATCTCTCTGCTGCGTTCGACACAGTCGACCACGCCATCCTCCTCCACTGCCTCTCCTGCCTCGTCCGCCTTAGTGGGACTGCACTTACATGGTTCGAGCCCTACTTAACCAAACGCCTCCACATCATCTCGGCAAATGGTTTCTCCTCCCACCTCCATCTGGTCACCCGCGGGGTACTCCAGGGCTCCATCCTTGTCCCGCTTCTTTTCCTCATCTATATGCTCCCACTTGGCGAGCGGAGTATGCGGATGACACACAAATCTACTTTGCCTTCTCCAGCATCGACTCCAGATCCGCCAATGTTTTATCAGCTTGTCTGGCAGACATCAGGCCCTGGATGAGAGCAAACTTTCCACAGCTGAATGTGGCCATCCCGTCAACATCTTGGCTCCCATCAACGTCTTCACTCCTGCGGATCTGAACTCCTCAACCTCCCTGAGCTCTCCCTCAGACTCACTGAACCAATGGCAATCTAGGAGTCCACTTCGACTCCCAGCTGTCCTTCCTTCCCCACATCCGGTCCCTGACTAGAACCGCCTTCCTCCACCTCCGCCACATTGCCCGCCTGCGACCTTACCTTACTCCAGATGCAGCCGAAACTCTCGTGCATGTATTTGTCATCCCCACCTGGATTACTCAAATGCACTCTTTGCTGATCTCCCCAGCTCCACTATTCAAAAAAATCCAACTCATTCAGAACTCTGCTGCCCGCATACTGACCTGGACCAAATTCCATACCTCCATCTCACCAGTCTGTCCAGGCTCCACTGGTTTCCCATCACCGAATGGATTGACTTAAATTTTCTCACATTTGTGTTCAAATCCCTTGACTCCCTTGCACCTCCCTACCTTTTCGACGTCCTCTATCCCCAGTGCACCACCTGGTGCCTCCGCTTGACTGGCACCGGCCTCCTGCTTATCCCTCGCACTCTCCGGGCCACCATTGAAGGTCGCTCATTCAGCCGCTATGCCCCGAAAACTCTGGAACGCTCTCACTCAATCTCTCCCGCCTGAAGACGTTCCTTTTCGACCGTGCTTACGGTCATCTCCCCCCCCGTTGGCTCGGAGTCAGGCTCCGCCACTGTTAAGCGCTTTGACACTCTACCCTGCATGGAGCTCGCTATGTAAACGTATCATTAATAAACAAATAGTTCAACTCCAAGTTAGCAATGATTTTCTTTCAGAAGGTTCAGACATTACAGCATCACATCATATTTCTTTACATGCTTTGACTGTTAGTGCTGACGAATGTCCTTGATGTTCTGTGTGTGATTGATCAGTCCAACCTACTGCAGGAATTGTGACATTTTATGCTTGTTTTGACTCACATGTGTCTGAGAAGCAGCAATGTGAGTCTACTCAGCCGTTCTGTGTGTGTATATACGTACAAACCTATGTATATAGACGATGTGATATTGTATGTTATGAAAAGGGTACCAAAAAGTCATGATATCTACCCTATTATCTAAACAAAATTATTTATTAGATATTGTAATGGTATTACGACTTTTTGGTCACCCTGCAAATATGTTTGTGTGTCCACAAAATGCACAGATTCAATTTACAGTATGTCCTGTGAAGTGCTTGGAGATGTCTTGATGACGTGATAAGGCACAATATCAAATGCAAGCATTATTATTTATTATTATTATTGTATGTGTGCCAATTTACACACAGCCAACCTTTATTTGGGGGATTATTGGCCAAGGCACCAAGATAAACCTTTTAACTTGAATAGACTTATGGGATCTTTAATGTCCACCTGAATAAGAAGGTGGGACTCTTGATTTAAGGTCTCATCCATAAGATGGCGCCTCCAACTATTAAAATTCATTTAATAGTTCTCATTTTTTTCCTTCTGTAGGAAATGATTTATTTCTGGTCGCAGTTCATGAATTGGGCCATGCACTGGGCCTCGAACATTCCAATGATCCAAGTGCAATCATGGCCCCGTTTTACCAGTACATGGATACAGAAAACTTCCGCCTTCCCCATGACGATCTACAGGGAATCCAGAAGATATACGGTTAGTAGTCACACTTTACATCTTTTGGGGGTGCTTCCCCACAGGTCGGTAAATTCATGGACTGTGGTGTTGATGTGAGATTATAGCAAGAAAATTCATAGAATAAGTTCATACTGGCAAGTTTTGTACATTCTGGGCGAGTGGAGATGTTCAAATATTCATAATTCCCAAACTCTATAAACGTACAGATCTGTAGAGAATCATTCATTATATAACTATTATTCAATGGTTTGGTCACTTTCTACCTTTATGTTTAACAGGTCCACCTGATAAGGTGGTACATCCCACAAAACCTTTGCCTACAGTTCCTCCACATCGCTCTAATCCACCTTCAGATCCAAGGAAGCCTAACAGACAGCCAAGACCTCCACGGCCACCCACTGGAGATAAGCCTTCCCAGCCTGGTGCCAAACCTAATATCTGTGATGGGAACTTCAACACCCTAGCTATTCTAAGGGGAGAAATGTTTGTTTTTAAGGTAGGAGATCCACACATATTAATACTTGTAATTCACACATAGTAATATTCATTATTACTGGAATAACAGTTTTCTTTCAGTTTTAAAAAACGCCTTGAGAAATCTAGTCAAGGGTCAAGATTCCTATTACAGGATTACCATGGTTGAAAAGAGGAGAGAGAAGATAATAATAATAAAAATATAATAATAATCCTTGTATTTGATATAGTGCCTTATCACGTCTTCAAGACGTCTCAAAGCACTTCACAGAATATACTCTAAAGTGAATTGACTGTATACTTTGTGGGTGAAACGCAACAGCCAATTGCACACACAGTGTCCCACAGACAGTCATGGATTGAAGTGACCAATTTGTTGTTATTATTTTATTTTGAAGAAATTATTACCCCCAGAAAAGATGAGATGAATAGTGATATAATTAATGGGTTAGGTAACAGCAAGCTTAGATTTTAAAACACTTGTAAAGTAGAGGAGTATTGGACTCAGGCTATGAAGAGGGATGGTGAGCTGCCAGTTCAGATTTAATTGCTTCATACAGAGACAGATGAATACAGGGAAACCTCATTATAGTGTGAATGTCTCGGTCCAATGTTTTACTTACCCCATTATAAGCAAGATATGGAAAAAATGGCTGACTTCAAGGTACGCATGCACATTAAGCATGAGAAGTGCCACTGACGTCACTTCACAAAGCATGTGATATCAGCAGTGAGCTGACAACTGGAAAGCTGGACATATTTTGTGTCAGTTTGGCTCAGTGGTAGCACTCTTGCCTCTGAGTCAGAAAGTTGTGGAATTAAGCCCCATGTCAGGACTTGGAATCACATAGTCTATGTTGGTACTCCCAATGGGGATGCGCTTCATCGGAAGTGTTGTCCTTTGGAAGAAACATGAAACCGAGGTCCCATCTGCCTGTTCAGGTGGATGTTAAAGATCCCATGGCACTATTCGAAAAGAGAAGGGAGTTTCTCCCTGTCCTGGCCAATAATCTCCCAAATAAAATTGGTCGCTCATTCCATGGCTGTTCGAGGGACACTGCTGTGCGTAAACTGGCTGCTGCTTCTCACACACATAACTGCAAAGTCAATCCACTATCCTGTAAAGTGCTTTGAGACGGCTCAATGGCATGATAAGGCACTATATCAAAATGCAAGGATTATTATTGTTTATTATTAGTGTGGGGAACTGGCTAGTCAGTGCCAGAAACAGGGTGCATTGCACTACCGGTTAGCACAAGTCCACACTAGAGCCAAGCTACAAGCGGCGTGGAGTTATATTGAAGGTCGCTAACACAGGGTTCCCAGTGGAGACAGATTGCATTAGCAAATTCAAGATAGAATTAAATAGCTATTTGGCAATGAAATCAAATAGCAGGATTTGAGGGATGGAATAATGTCTTTTTTGTTAATATTTTACTTGAGGACCAGCCAGATGAATTGCAACACTCTTTCCCAGGACAGTACATCCTATGTTCCTATTGAAAGAAGATTGAGAGAAGAAAGGAGTTCCATAATAGAATTGTTCATTTGAACATTTCATTGCCAACAAAAGCAATCAGCCCCTGTCTCTATTCTGTTCGGGAGATAACATGCATCACATACAGAGAGCTCAGGGATGAGAGAGTCTCTACAGTGTCTTCAGTATTTCTGGGTCCTAGGAATAATAATAATAATACTTGCATTTGATATAGTGCTTTTCACGTCTTCTAGACGTCTCAAAGCTCTTCACAGAATATACTGTAAAGTGAATTGACTGTATATTTGTTGGTGAAACGCAGCAGCCAATTGCACACAGCAGTGTCTCACAAACAGTCGTGGATTGAGTGACCAAATTATTATTGTTTTTTTCCTTGAGGGATTATTATTATGAGTGTGGAGTAAGGAAACTTGCCCAAGGTTTTGCCCTGCTGGGAATCGAACCCAGGTCTCTTGTTTGCAAGGCAAGAGCTCTAACCACTGAGCTACAGGACTCCTACATTACATTGAAAGAAATTTCATATATCCCCCCACTCCTGCCCGCAAAATAAATTCCCTTTAGTTAAAGGAGTTCTCCGGATTTAGCTAGCGTGTAACTGCCCAAACAAGGTTTCTTTCATCCACATCCTTAGTTGTCTCTTTCACCCCTGCCCAGTCCCCACGCTGCTGATCAATAATTTCCATTTCAATAAATATGAAAATCTATTCAAATAATTTGATAAAAATAACATATGTGATTCTTCCAAACTTGGGCTCTATGCCTAACTCGCATAGACAAGATTTGATGAAAATTGATTTTAGTTCAATGCAGACTGCAAAAAGCAGATGCCCTTGGAAACATTAAATAAATACATCTGCCTAAATGTATTTCTCATTGCCAAGGAGATTATGTCTGTTGTGAATTTTCATTCTGTACTTGTGCTAAATGTTATGACAAGAGCAGTTTTAGAAGGTATGTGAAATGTAGAGGGATATCAGTGCTTTTCCCCCACTTCCCGGTAATCAAGTCCAATCAGATACAAGGTCTTCCATCTCAAACCACAATTCCAAAGGTTTTCCAAGTTAAACTTTGATTAACATTTGAAGGGGAAAGAGTATAAAAGGATGGAAGTAAACTCCTTAAGCAGTTACATCTTGGATTGGATTCACACTGAGTGGGTATCATTTATGAGAGCCAAAAATGGCTTATTTAGGGAACGCTGGCTTAACTCAATTTGTTCTAGGCACTTGAAAAATCTCCTCCCCGCCCCCCCCCCCATCCAGCAGGAATCTAGGATGGCAATGCTCAGGGCTTCTCAGATTTTGGTGGGAGCATTCAGACATTGGGAGGGGGTGGGCTAGTTCTCAGAGTTCGCAGGGTAGGTCTTAGAGCGCTTAATAGTGGTGGAGCCTGACGCTAAGCCAGGGGGAGCGGGGAGGTGTCCGTACTGTCTCACTTACCTTCCACTTGTCATTGTGATTTTCTTAGAGAGAAACCAAGACACTGTATCTCATATAGAAGGTTATGCTTGAAGGCTTAGTTGAGGAAGGGCAGGAGGAGGCTCATGTGGAGCATAAACAGCAGCATAGACCAGTTGGGCCAAATGCCTGGTTTCTGTGCTGTATATTCTAATGTATTCTAACATATATAGTTGAGAATCAGTTGGTACTTTGAATTCTGCTGCTGATAAACTATCCTGATTTACAAAGGGGCCTTTTTGGCGAAGAAGAAAATTAGTGTGACAATTTTGGCTTTATCGAACCTTGATATTACAGAGCTGCTTTAATGAGACCTGGTTCTGTATGGCTGAGTGTACATGGCTGTAATATTCACCCTTTTAACTCAGTGAACCAGATTCATCATGATGGGTGATAACAGGCGAATAACTGCACAGCAATTGCACATCTTGTATGCACTAACACTTATGAAGGTCTTGTAAACTATGAGTGGTGGCTTCCATCTATTGTTTGTGAGTTTTCCCCAATGCATGGAGGAAGTTCATTGGGGTCAGCTGGTGTTGCTATCTGCCAGTATCAGTCAGTGACCACCCAAGAACTTTTAACATTTACATTCTTAAGTTTAAAAGTTTACTTAGCATTGGCTGGAGTTGGCACTTCAGTTATACTATACACAGTATAAAGATTTCCTGGCTCCAGTCCTACTATTGCTTTTCACAATGCTGAAGCAGTGGTGTTCAGCCTATGGCCTGACATATTTCAAAGTGTTGTTCTAGGTGATTTAGGGGGCTATATGGCATAATAGATATCAGTGGTACAGAAACAGTGGACTAAATGGATCTATGGAAATTGTTTTAATAGGGTGAAGTTTATAGTGTTCCTTAACTTGTACTTTTGTCCTAATAAGCACAAAGAATGCATTAAGAAATATTTGGAAATTTGTTCCTGATTTAGAATTAGTATAAGATCTCCTTTACACTCTCTGTGATGAATGGCTGATACTTCCCCCTGGTCCACACAAACCCAACTCCGTATCAGCTCCCATACCCACCCCTGCACCACCCCCCACCCCGAATTGTAAATCTGTTCTCGGCTGTGGGATTCCTGGTTCTCACTCCATATTAGGAATGTAAACATTGATGTAAATCAGGATGATGTAATTGTTGGGTTCTTGTGATTTTTTTCCCACTGCCTGATCCGATGGATGTAACTGTGTGGATCAGGATGTTCATTACAGAGACCTTTATAAGATTCCCCACCCCACCCCCAAAACTGAGGAGCCTTACATCATCTTGTCTCCGAGGTTAAGAACGGAAAAGGATCCTTAAGACAATTTCAAAATGATGTTGGATTAGAGCGAGACAGGGTGCCTCATGAAGAATAAATGACATAATTGTGTTTTCCTTTGTGTAAAAAAAAGACTCTCTTAATCTAGGGGAACTGTTTTGGATGAAAGGCATTTTGATGGTTGTAATGATGTAATTTGAAGCTATGATTCCTTCAACCGTGTCTAATCACTCAGGCACACACCATGGCTGATGCATTCCAAGCGAGTTAAGGATTGAACTGGCTGCTCAGTTCCAAAGTGAGAGAAGAGAGACAGTTTCTCATATTCCTCTTTGCACCAGGATCTGTAAAATACCAAATTAACCGGGTTTGTGCCAATTTGCAACCTCACTGTCTTGATGCCTGCAGTCATATATTATTTATGAAGACGTTCAGATGCCCAGTACTGCAAGTTTTATTACATACAGTTTGTTTTGCAAAGTAAATTGAAGCATCATTTACAATCTTTGGAAGATACAGCAGGGGTGGCGGGAGAGAGGAAATGCAATCTTCTTAAATGCATTGCATTCCTTAATTATCAGCGGGGAACAGAATGCATTTAGGAATATTGCATTATCCCAATTAAGATTTTCAATTGCCCCCTTCCTTTCCAACTTATCTCTATTTCTTCCGTTGTCCAGAACCACTCAGTTCATCACATTTGCCACAATACTTTAGTCTGTATGCTTCATTTCAGAGAATCCTTTCTTTCTTGTCCGAGTACCAGGAAAATGAAATGCCACATGCTCTAAACATCCTATA